GATTTCTGCATGTTGCTCTTTTGGCGTTCCCACTAAAGAACCCTTATTATTGAAAGAACTCACTGGCACTTCTCTCAGAGCCTCCCTAAGAGGAACACCCTTCAGATCTGTTACTGTTAAACCCTACTTCTAGGTGGTTCCACATTGTGCCCCTAAAACCGTTTTAAACGTCTAAACTGAAATTGATTCCTTTCTTCTCGACGAACTAGCCACCACCCCTTTGGTGTTCCTTACACTCCAATTAACATGTTTTCCTTGTTTGAGTCCAATTCAACAATTTTCTTATCCAAGTTACTTAAACTTTCAAACCATGTATTACCCTCGAGATAGCACCCACTTTAGAGATCCCCCCGACGCTGGGAGCCTTTTTAACCTGACGACGAGGATAAAAAACTACCATTCATGGCCCATAAATGCTCATGAGCATTCCTAACAACCGATACTTCCTCCTTCCTTATTGTAGATTCAGGCCCTACCTTTCCCAGTTTCGTCCTCTCCTGAGTGCCACACGACTATTGAAGGTGACCATATACACCACACTTGAAGTAAATAGACTGAAAGACTTCATACTTAATCTGTTGAACAAATTCGTCAATCCCAATACACAGTAGCAATGGTTTATTAAGGTCAACCACCACCGCTAGTCTAGTGAACTTCCCTCTCTCCTCAGCGTTGGTGTTATAATCTACCTAAACAACTCTACCAATTTCCGCAGCAATCAGACCAAATAAAGACCGTATAGTAACGATACGGCAAACTCGGGAGACGGATCCAAATGACCACTTGAGATGGGTGATTAACCATAGTAGAAAAGTTACGACTTTATGGTTGAAGCGTTAAATAGCTACCAAACACAACCCTTGACCACTCCGTTAAGATCCGATTATAGTCACTTTCGTAATCCAATTTGACTAAAAAATATCCCTTGTCCAGATCAATCAATTGAATATGCCCTTGAGGCTTCCAAAGCAATTGGATATTATTCCACAAAGCACATAAACCTATAGTTTTACCCAACAAACGAACGATGATCGACATCTTCATGTTCTCATCAATAGCCTCATTAACTCTATCAGAGAAAATAATAATAGGGTAGAAACCGCTCCGATCCACCACCACATCACATTCTTGAATAGTAACATCGTTCCCTTCAAAGAAGTTCTTCGTCGAATCATCCACTTTGCCCAAAACAACCATCATCGTTGTATAAGAGGGTTTGCCTCCCCCCAAAGCACTCGGTTTGACCCCCTGTTGATCCACCTCCATACCATCCACCATCGCAGATGCCTCACCTCCAGGTACTCCAGTCAGATTACATGATACCACCCCAGTAATCGGAGGCTCAACAGCCCCGGAGGAGGGAGCCCGGCTGCCCCAGGAGTCGGTTGAAGACCGCTAACCATGTAGAAAACAAAACCCTAGCCCCCACGAGATCCTAAAAAGTCGGAGAAAACTACCCAAAGTGAGAGTTTCACAAGTTATTTTATATATTTAAAAACCTTGCACCATGATTATTAGTTGTTGTTTTTGATTAAGAGAGAAATAGTTTGAGCATTACCCGAAAATGATTATAGTTTCTACTATATTTTTTAATCATGCTAAACTAATTATAAATTAGTATATGTTCTAAATAATTTTAATTATTTGAAAATGAATGTTTAAAAATAATTCCTTTAACCACTTAGATAAATTGATTCGTGCATAATTTCTAATATCATTTTAAAGTTGAATATTTCCGCTCTAAATATAATTAGTCAAACGATTTATAATTTCTCAGCATAATTAAAATTTAAAAATAATCAAAATAGTCAGTTATATGTTTTGTTATTTTTTCTGACAGAAGTGTTGGATTGTATTAAAAGAAAGAAAAGAGAGTAAATATAAAGCACACCCAGTAAATATTTAATCTACATAATAAAAAAACTTATAGAAAAGAGATTAAAACATAAATATTTTAGAAAAAAAATGAAAAATGGAAAAGCAAAAGTTATGTTTTGGCTTAAATCTTTGCACCAGCTTTCATATAAAATTTAATATTCATCATTGATTTTTTTTTCAATGTCCAATTAAACGTAAGAATAATTAAATTTATTGAATAATTTTAGAGGTTAATAATAATTAAAGTTATAGAATTATTTTAAAGGTTAAAAGAAGTGTTATTCTTTCTTGATGTTCTAGATTTAAATAATTATATTGTGTGTGTATTTTCAATAATTAAGAAAATTTATAAATAGATACTAACGTAGAAATTCCTTTATAGAAATAATGATATAAATAAATTAAACATTACTTTAATTTTAAGAAAACAACAATCTTTATAATGAATTATTAAAAACTTTTGGTTGACATATCTCATTTACCGTAGGTTGTCGATTCAGTGAGTAATGAGAAAAAATCTCATTCCCTTATTTTAGATAATAATTATTAAAATAAATAAACTGTTATATTGAGGGTAGGGATGGCAAACGGGCAGGTCGGGTGCGGATATCCCCTCCCCCATCCCCATACCCACTTAATATTTTCAATCTATCACCCGCCCACCACCCATGATGGGTACAAATTTTCAAATCCACACCCGCCCACGCGGGTACATTTTCAAATCTATCCTCACACCCACTACCCACTAGTGACATACCCATTTAGACCCGCCTAACAGCAAACTAATAGGATGTTGGAGTTGGTTCCCAGACAGTTCGTGATGGGGTAGCAACGCATGCTTCAATTTGTCAGAAGAGTGGCTCTACGAATGTTATGGAGACAGATTGTAGGGAGCATGTAGTCGCAGAGCTGGATTGTTGAGTTGCTTTCGATGTTAATGCTCATAGTGCACTTAATATGGGTTTTGAGGGGCTAAAGAACATGAAAACTGTTGTTTTTTATGTTAATGCATATAGTACGGCTAATTTGTGTTTGGATGGGCAGCATGGGCTAAAGAACATGGAAAGTGACGTGGTTAGTGGGATTATGGGTTTAATCAAAGAGCCGAATATTTCCCTAATTAAAGACCAGATTAAAGACTAAATATCCTTAATATTTGGTTAAATTATATGTTATATATTATACAATATTAAAATTTATAAATTAGTCTCTAAAATTACACTTAAATTCATAATGGTCTAAAATTTAATAGATATTTAGCTGGACGGGCGGATGTGGGGCGGGTAATGTCTCAAACATTACCCGCCCACCACCCACGATGGGTACCACTTTATAAATCCACACCCGCCCACTACCCGCTAAAATTATACCTATCCCCGTTCCAATTGGAGCGGATACGGTGCGGAATATACGAAACTGTACCCGTTTTCCATCCCTAATTGAGGGGGAAACTCAAAATAGATGTGCAAAAAAAACTTTTATTTAGGAAAAAAATGAAATCAAAAAAATAAAGAAAATCCAATCGATCATACTACAGGGGTAGATCTGGGGCAGGTAGGGACAATCGTCTCCTGAAAATTTAAAAATTTCATATATTTTAAAATTTTTCTATGTATTTCCTATTAAAAATATGTTTCATTCCTTAGAATTTTAGTTCGCCCCCTGAAATTTTAGTTCATTCCTCTTAAATTTAAGTTCATCCCTTAACATAAATTTTGGTCCTTGCATACTACAATCATTGTTGGAGACGACACTATGAAAAAATTAATAAAATAATTGTGGGAAGTAATTATTAAGATAAAAGTAAGCTAAAAAATTATATTTAAACATTAAAAAAATAATATCCACCAAATTATAGTAATTTTAAAGGGGACGTTTGCAAGGGGACGTTTGCATGGGGGAATGTGTGATTCCCATGGGAATGGAATCCACATTTCCCAGTTTGGTTAGTCCGGGAATTCCATTTTCGGTAATGTAAGATTACTAATGGTGGATTTTTTAGGGTATATTACCAGGAATGTCATTACCTCTCTTTCCTTAGGTATTGTTGGATTACAGACGTTTTGGACTAAAATGCCCTTAATTTTTTTTTTTCAAAAATAGCATTCTTCTGTCATTGAATAATAACAATTCTACGAAGGTTAAATTACAAATTTATCCTTAAACTATTTTAGATTTACAAAAAAGTCTATAATTAAAATTCTATATGAAGTTCAGGTGTTAAAATAAAATTTTACCCTTTCATTAAACCTTTTTATATTTTCAATTTTGTAAAAAAAAATTATATAAATTTTATGAATTTAAATTTTTTAAAGAAAATATATAAATATTTTCCAACTTGTTAAAAAATAAATATATAATAAGGACAATTTGGTCAAATATACATTCCAATAATCTTTTATTCCTTTAACCAAACCCTGTAATCTTACATTCTTGCTAAGCTAACCAAACACAAAATACAACATTCCCAGTAATCCTATTCCCTGATAATCTTACATTCCCACTGGTAATCTTACATTCCCACTGGTAATCTTACATTCCCACTGATAATCTTACATTCCGTGAACCAAACGCACCAAGGGTAAAGTACATCGGTGACCATAAAACTATAGACCCTTTTCATTTGGCATAATGCAACAAAATAAACTTAACGTTTGACAGTGGTGTCAAATTTACCCGTATTTTTTTTAGAATATTTGACCCATTAATGTTTCATTTTAGGTCAAAAAATACCCTCGTTGGATAAAAAACGTTAGTCAACTAACGGTGTTGGCATGGAGATGACATGGCAAGCAAGCTTACATAACATGGCACGCTGACGTGGCAATACCATATATGCAAAGGTGATCACGTGGCATTTGCCACGTCAATAAAAATTATTTTTTTAAAATAATTATATTAATTTTTTTATAATTTCAACCAATACAAAGATGACACATGTCATCATTTCATTGGCTTAAATATAAAATTGTAAAATTTGCATTCCAGTAAGAATTTATGCTTATTTTTTTAAATATTATTATTGTTTTTAATATTTTTCAGCTTGTAAGAATGTTTATATATTGGTAACACAAAGGAGTTTAGTTTTATAGATAAAACACACTGCCAACTACAACGGAAAAATGAGTTTCGCCATCTCCAAGCTCGATAAGGAAAATCATCACCGTCGCCTCCATTGCCACCGGCATCCAGTTCCGCTGGGCTCTTTAGCTGTCTCTTCTAACCCCATACGTTGCAGACCCTCGGCGTTCCCCACACATGGGCGGCTTTCATTTGGCCCTGCGGTCCAATCTCCGGCCTCCTTGTTCAACCCATCGTGGGTTACAACAGTGACCGTTTCACCTTCCGGTTTGGTCTACGCCGACCCTTTATCTTCGCAGGAGCCGGCTCGTTCTCCATCGCCATCTTCCTCATCAGTTTCGCTAAAGACAATGGTCACCGTGCAGTCGATTCATTGGAGAAACCGACGAAATTGAAAGTCGTCGCGATATTCGTAGTCGGGTTTTGGATCCTCGACGTCGCTAACAACATGTTGAAAAGTCCGTTCCGGGCTCTACTCGCCGACTTATCGGCTAACGACCACAAAAAGATGAGGACGGCCAACGGTTGGTTCTCGTTTTTCATGGCAGTCGGAAACGCCATTGCTCGATAGCCATGAATGTATGTTTGTGAGTGAGTGATTCATTTCCTCGGTTTCGGTTTTGGGTTTTTGTTTTTAATCTGTGCACTGATATAAGCATCGGTTTTGCATGCTCCAATAATGGTCAGTGCACTTGAACTGTATTGTTTGTCATCCCCCTCCCCCCAATTTACTTCTAAAAGATGTTTTTTCATCAGGATAATTCGGAAATACCTTGACCATACACTAACAATGAAGAACTGTAAGTATTACAATATGAATTGCTTGAACGTGTAAAGTAACTCCATTGTCAACCTCGCAAGGGTCTTTGACAATGCTGTCAGTTTTCTTTCTAGTCAAGTTTCATGGTACCATGACTCAGCTGATATCTGTAATCTGGGTAGTCTGAACTGCTCAAATGCATTCGTCGAGAAGTTTTCAGAAAGCAAAGATTGGAGATTGAACTGTAGTGAACATGATATGCGTCTGGTTGGCTCCGTTTCGAACGTAGACTCCTTTTATGCATTATGGGATTGTTCCGGTAACAGGGAGCCTGCACTTCACTGGTTGGTCCGGTACAGGAGCAAAGTTTCCATATATTTGAACAGTGGGGTCAGCTATTTTGGGAAGAGGATGGTGACGCTCGTGAGAAACCAAAGTATTCTCCACCAACGGGATACTGGAAGGTAAATTTTATAATTTAATATATAAGCAAATGAAATGATGACACATGTCATCTTTGTATTGGTTGAAAAATTATAAAAAAAATAATATAATTATTTTAAAAAATAATTTTTGTTGACGTGGCAAATGACACATCATCACCTTTGCATATATGACATTGCCACGTCAGCGTGCGATGTTATGTAAGCTTGCCATGTTATCTCCATGCGTTGACATTTAGTTGACTAATGGTTTTCATCTAACAAAAGTGTTTTTTTGACCTAAAACGAAACGTTAAGGGGTCAAATGTTTAAAAAAAATCAATACAGGCAAATTTGACACCACTGTCAAATGTTAAGGTTATTTTGTTGCATTATGCCCTTTTCATTTTGACCACTGACGTTTTGATTCGATAAATCAGACCATCCTGCTATTTAAATACTTCAATCAAGTCACTAGTCATTAATTTTTAACGGAGTTGGTGATGTGGCAGAGAATAAAAATTGGCATAATTATATATTTGGTCCTTAATATTTACACATTCATTCAATTTAGTCACTAGTTTAATACACATACTATAAATATAATCCTCCAATCAGAAGATGTCATGTGTCACTATAAGATTAGAGGATTAATTTAATTAATTTTAATTAAATATATTTTTTACAAATCAGGTGGCGACACCTGTCATCACCGGTGTAAAGGGAAAATAGAGAATAGAAGATAGTTGAGGAGGATTCAAACAAGTCGTCGTTGATGGTGATCTCAGAATTTTGGTTTCTTAAGAACATGAATGATGCTTTTTTTGTTTGTTTTCAATTAAATATATTTTTTAATTGATTAAAGAAAGGGTAAACTACACCAATGGTCACTAATGTATGGGTAAGTATTTGTTTTCACCATTGATGTTTGAAAAGTCACAAATCAGACACTAACATTATCGTTTGTTACAAAATGGTCACTAACATTATCGTTTGTTACAAAATAGTCACTCGATGTTAACAGTCGTGAACAAATCTTTATTGCATCAACGGAATGCTAACGTGGCACGTTAAACCAGCTGACTTAACATGTTTGATCGACCGTTTGACTCTTCTTCTTCTACTTCTTCCCATTAACCACCCACGACCATTTTAGATAAAACCATGCAAGAAAAAACACAATGACAAAATGATAACATCAAAAGTAAGATGAACGACATTTTAACTGTAACACCCCCAACCTGTATCCGACCCAGATACAAGTCTGAGGTGTCACATTGAAATTTCAAATCATTTACTTATATAAAATAAAGGAGAAATTCATAATTAAATTAAATAAGATGAATAATTTACATACATTAAATCAAAAAGTTTACAAAAACTAATCAGAGCATATACAATTTAAACTTTTAGGTACATACCAACACTATTTACTACAATAAAATAACCTACTGTTAAATTGCTTCTGATCGGATCTCTGATGATGTTATGTTGTCTCTGTTGCCTATCCTTGCTTTTCAGACTTATAGGATCCTACGTGTGAAACACTCACACGCTAAGTCATAGACTTAGTGATGCATATATGCATAAATGAACTAATGAAACATGCAGTTACATACTTTCATAACACACATTTACATATTCTCATATCATACAGTTACATATTTTCATCTCTTACCTGAATCATCATATCTCACACAACAAAAACACATAAGATCATGCATTTAACAAATAATAACATATCACCTCATAAAAATGTTAATTCTTTTTATATCTTTTATTAGCCTATGGTACATTAATGAGAACTAAAGATATGTGAGTGCATTGAGGTTGTGCACAAATGTTGTCACCATAGCTCGTATAATTTGCATTGAGTGTCATATAAAATGTCCAAAAGGACCTCGTAGAATTGTCCCGAATGGCCACATATATGTCCCGAAGGACTGCGTAGAACCCTAGACTCTTGGCATGCAAATTATACCCTCAGCTCTCATATAACATAACATGGGCTTTACCATTTATAACAGTTCACATCACTTATTTCACATAGGTATATTAATGTGTGCATCTAACCACATAGCTTGTATCATATAACTTATACTTTGTTCTCGTATGTTCACATATATCTTGTAGCATATATAGTCACATATCACATAGACATATAATCATATAATATCTTGGCACGTATGTTATATCACATGTTCATATAATCCTTTATGTCCATATCATATAACTTATATCATATTCTTATGTAATCACATATATCATTTATACTAGTTCACATGGTTTATTACACAAACCTATTTTCACATAGATCATGTAACATATACAATAACATATAACACATATACTCATATTCAAATACTCAGTAACACATAATAATCATATCAAACACATGCTTATTTTCATGAATTCACGCATTCTAATATAGGAAATAGACTCGTTGCAAGTTTTATTTCCATAAAATATCATATACCAACTAGTATGCACTCACTTGGGCCTCACTAATCACACCAATCTCTTATCTCTTTCTCGATAAATATTACTTTGTCGACTTGTTCGAACTTTGCTTTCGCTCAATATCTTTGAAGTGGAGTTCACGGGCAGAAGAAAAAGACAATAATTGTATTTCTAGATATCTCCCCAAATCCACGTGCTTATCTCTTAATAAAGGAGATAAATTATCCTTTAAAATAAAAAGACCATAATACCCTTCATTCCTTTCTTCTTTTCTATTTAATTCAATACCAAGATATTCCAATCTAAGTCCCTAAACTTTTCTAATTTTTTTGAAATTAGACTCAAAATTTCAAAATCTTACAATTTAGTCACTAACTTAGTTTTTGGGATGTTACAAATCTCCCCCCTTAAGAAAATTTGTCCTCGAATTTTCACTTCACAAAGATATGGAGAAATCATCTATGTATATCACCCTTCCAATCCTAAGTTATTCTCACAATTAAAATTTTACATAACTACCATTTATAAACGTGTCTTTCATCTCCCTATAATTCAATTGATTTCTTTCATCATTCTCTAATTGCTTACAATATAAGCAAAACTTTTACTCTTGTACAGTCCTCATTTGAAGTTTAATACATATAACCTTGATAGTCGCCATTACTTGCAAAGTATTTTGTTCTATATTACTACTTATTAATAACCATCTATGCTCCTAATAATTTTCAGAATAAATTCTCATACCACATATAAATTCAACACAGCTTATTCACCTGAAAACCATGCCCTAATGGTTTAGTCCTTATCACCTCATTACTTATTACTTCAAATCAAAATTTTCAATTCTCTTACTAATTTGCTACTAGTGTATAACTATGTTGATCCTGGATCTATCAAAACCAAAACTACTTTGCCACATTATTGAAAAGTACCTGCAATGATATCTGGATCCTCAAAATCTTCGTCAGTCCTTAAATTGTAAACCTGAGTAGTATAATGCATCTCATGTTAAGTGGACGACTAAGATTGATTTCTTCCTCCACCTCTACCTCTACTTCTCTGAGATACCACATCAGATCGTTCGATTTGTGCAGTCTCATCAATCATAAATGGATAATCTCAAATAAAATGTCCAATGTCACCACATCTAAAGTAGGCTCCGGAGACCTTTCGATATACTCACATATGATTCTTCCCATAATGTGAACATTGTCTTGATTGAATTAGATTTGATATTTTAGTAGAAGATGCCACTGACTCAGACATATTCTGAGGTTGAGAATCAGAATCTCTACTTCTCTTTGATGGTGTTGAACTCGACGAAGCACCAACTCTCTTAGACATCTGAACTTTATGCTCTCCAAACCTCTCATTCTGAGTTCTCTCTAGAGCTTTAGCACGATTTACCACCTCTTGAAACAATGAAAGATTCAAAACTAACAACAACTCTTTTAATCTAGGGCACAAGCCCTCCACAAACCAGTCATATACATCTTTTTCAGTCGGAATAAGCTCGGTAGCAAAATGACTTAACTTATTAAACTCACATTCATATTCATACACAGTGTAATTCCCTTGCTTCAAGTTTAGAAATTCTTGCTTTATTTGCCTAATAAACTAGTCACTAATGTACTTGTGCTTGAATTCTTCTAAGAATAATGACCATGTCACTTGATCACTTCTCAATCTCATGGTGACATTTGTCCACCATGCTCTAGTTTGACCACACAATAGCGAAACTATTCCATCTAATTTCTCCACTTCAGAGCAGTGGATTCCCTGTAGTATTATCTTCACATCGTTTAACCAAAGGTCTGCAGTAACAGGACCTTCCTCCGCTTCACCCTTGAACTCGGGTGCTCCTAACCCTTTTAACTCTTTTGCTATATTTATTCTAGGAATTGAGGGAGCAGGAGGTTGAAAACGCATCAGAATAGCGTTCAACGTCCTAAAAAACAACCCTTGATCTTGTACAGGTACTACAGGAGGTGTTCGCTCTTCACTCTGCTTGGCCAAGGCAGGTGAATTGTTACTACCTTCATGTCTATCATTTCTCCGTTCACTTCGGGAATTCTCGGGGTCAGACATCTAATAAAACATAACCATATAACTCTATTAGAAGACATCATACTCATTACTATATCATATTAGAAGTTTTCACTTTTTGTTGTCATATATACTTTTCAAAACTCATTTAACTTCAGTTTATGCCAAGAATAGGCTAAACTTTGGCTCTGATACCATTAAATATAACACCCCCGACCCGTAGTCGACCCGAATTGTAACATCCTCCATACCGTGTTAATGATCAAATTATGAGATTTAAAAATTCTGTGACCAAATTGGATAAATTAAAAAGTTCAAAGAATTGATTAAAATATTTTGTGTATGATCAATTAGCAAAGAATGAGGAATTAAAGGGGTAAATAAGACTTTTAATAAGGGAAATAATTAAATATTAGTTGAGGATATTTTATACCCACGTGGAAGCTATTGGAAAGAACCAAAGTTTCTAGATTTCTCTTATTCTTCATTCTTCTTCTCCATCGTGAAGCCAAACTAAAGGTGATCTTTCTTGTTAA